CTCCGCGACTCGGCAGGCAGCGCGACCGCCAGGGCCGCCTCCACCGTCCCGCCCACCCCGCCTGCTGCCTCCCGGCGGAAAACTGGTCGTTCAGGTTTCCCGGGGAGAAGTACCCTGGCCGGACCGGAAGTCACCGTCACGGCCTAGTCGTAGCAGGTGACGGGTTCCGCCCGGGAACGGCCCAGGCGCCTCTCCTTGTCCCTGTGCTCCCTTTGGGCCTTTATGCCAGGGTTTTAGGAGGGCCCCTCGCTCCGACGGGTTTTGTGCTGTCCCCGGCATGGTAGTCAGTTAGTTAACCCTCAGAGCGGACCTGATACTGAGGTGGGAAGCGGGGTTACCCGCGTGCCGTACCTCACCTCACGGGAGCGCATTGAAGCCCAGTCCGTGTAAGAAGGGTTTTCGTCAACATGGACACCAAGCAGAGTTCTACCTTTAGAAAACGAAATGCACCTCAGCGTCCTCACGCACACAGCCGCTTTTCTGTCACATCTCGTCTTTGAGAACGAAGGGGCCCAGGTTCGTCATTTGGCTGGCATTTGAGGTGGAGCACCTAGTGACGGAGGGTGTCAGGAATCCAAGACCACGTGTCTTGATCCTCCAGGTGGGAACCCTTTCCATACCTTATCACCGTCCGAGATAAAAAGACCGGTATCGTTCAGTGACAGGATCGGAATGGAACTTGTGACCTGCCTGGTTGGGGTTTGGTCTCTCGTCACCGTTGGCGTTGGCATCTGCACATCTCCATCTTCCCTGGGACCCTGTCAGTCAGTAGGAAAACAGGCTGTGGAACACCTGGTACAAGAGGCCTGCCCTTAGGACTTAGCAGCTATAAGGCCCTGTCGGATGTCCCGACTCGCTTAGTCTGGATTTTTAGTCTAACCATATGTCATCTTTGGTCTTTGGTAGCTAATTAGGGGAGCAACTGAACTAGGCTAAATTACACAAAGGTGGCTTATGAGTCAGCTGCAACAGCTGGTGATTTGCAAAGAGTCCATACCATGAGAGTCACCTTCACAAGATGTTTGAGGAATGCTACCTGTGGAATCAGACCACAAGGCCTGGTTGCAGTATCGTCTTGGTTCCTTGATATACATGAGAAGGGTCCAGCACCGTGCCTGTTTTCAATGTGAGGGGGAAAATTCCTTTCTAAAGTCTTTACCGGAGCAGAGACAAGCCCTGAGATTCCAAAGAGGTTTTCCCCTGCCCAACCGACTCACCAAAAGAGATGCGTGGCGTTTTCTTGGATCCTTCATCGTGGATGCCACACGCTGTTTCTTTTCTGGAGTCGGTCCAGCAAGTGCTCGCATCGGCAGGAACAAAAGTTAGTTTAGGTTCTTTTGCATAATCTAGATGTCAACATAGCCAACGATCAGATTGATGAGCTAATGTGGCCAGAGTTGGAAAACTGGTGTAAGGGGGTGTCGCGTGTATGCTTGACCTGGTGAGAAAACAGTGAGAGTTCCTAAGAGTGAGACACAGTTTGAAAAAGGGCCCGTGGTGGGGGATGAGAGGGAAAATAGGATAGATTGGGACCAGCCAGCTCCAGTCAGCCTTTTCATAAATGGCTAAAGGAAGGGGAGGCTTTGTTAAAAAGCCTCTCTTTTTTATTTCCCTTTGGGAGTAGGGAGACCCAGTAAGTGGAGAAAATAGGTGGAAGCGAAATTTCTTGATCTGTGATCTTGGGAAAAGCTGCCTGCTTCATGCTTGTGTCTGTATCTGGGGCCTAGGACTTGGCCAAGGAGACCCTTACTTTAAGGTCACCTCAGGGATGGCCTTCCAGTTGTCCTAGTGTGCTGATCTAACGTGACATGGCTTGCATGAATCAGGAGTGTCTTTCCTTTATTTTGATAGCAGTGTAGGTGGTAAGCATCTCGTAAGGGCCTTCCCAGCAAGGTGTGACAATGTGTGCTTTCTTCTAAAAACCCTGATGACCAGTGTCCTGGTCAAAAGGGGTGATGAAGCTCGCCAGCCTTCCCAGCAAGGGGTGACAATGTGTGCTTTCTTCTAAAAACCCTGATGTGCATCCAGTGTCCTGGTCAAAAGGGGTGATGAAGCTCGCCAGTCAGTGGAGGTCACGCTCTTTTTACCTATTGATGATATCTTTCAAGGATATTAGTTACTTCTGTATATAGCTAGTTATAGTATCAAATTGTTCACTCAAGTTCCTCTACTGTTTACTGAATCCAGGAATGGACTGTTTCGAGATGCCAGGAGGCATAGGGCAACCAGTCTTACAAAAGGGCTTCGTCCATGTCTTCTATTTGAAGTATTCCAGATTTTTATAAGGACCAGAGGTAATGCTTCTGGCCATTAAGTCCAGTTACTTGACAGACTTTTCCTAAAGTCCTTTTGATGTCTAGATTTTTAGGTTTCATTTGCCTTGAGAATTGGGGATGGTACAGGTTATAAAATTTTAATGAGTACCCCAAAGATTTTGTAAGCAAATGGTTGATCTCTGCTGTAAAATGAGTTCCTTGGTCTGAGTCAGTCCATAAAGCAATACCAGAGTGAGGCGTAATCTGCGTTATTACTTTTTCACCATCTGTCGCCTCTAGTTCTGGTGTTGCCACGTCTACTTGGAGAGCATTCAGGCCGTCCACTGAGTACGTAGGCAGTAAACAGTGGGAAAAGCCTAAAGCTGGGGTAAATCTGCAGACTCCATTTGTGGTGCTGCAGAGGGCCTCATGGCAACGGAGAATATTTCCTCACCTACAGTTCTGGCGACAAGGGTAGGATGTCGCTGGCTGGACACTGCGCACGCCAGGCCTGCCTCACCTGAGAGATCCTGGGGCCTCTGACATAAGCCCGCAGAATAAGAATTTTCACGTCAGTCTCCCCGATCTGCATGCAGGGCTTGATCAAGGGAGAGTGGTAAGTCTCTCCTTGTCTCTTCCCTTCTGAATTTAGATTAGCAGCAGAAACTGCTGTGTGTGAACCAGTTCTTCAAGAGGGGCAACTCTGGTGTTTTCTCTCATGAGCATTCTTGTTTTCTGCTTAAAAGCCATCTCTCCAGACCCCTGCACTCTCAGAGGGTTCGTTTTTCCCCTTCTGTGGGACAGTACCCCCATGGACTGACAGGGGCGCCTGGTCTTCAGCTGCGCCCCAGAGCTCACCATTAAACTTACAGTAGAGGATTAGGAACTGGACTTCCTCACTGACACTGGTGAGACTTCTGCGTCCATTCAGAGACCTCATCTCTGGCTGGCACCCCTGATTCTATCCAAGCCGTCGGAGCCTTTGGGCAACCTCTTCATTGTCCATACCTCAGGCCACCCCATACCCTTGGGCCCACCATTTCTTTTTTTCTCTTTGATCATAACTGCTGTACATACCTGTGACAATTTTCTTCGAGAATTGTACAGTCATCATAACCAGATGCTGTTTGTTTCAACATCTCTCGTGTCTTCATCTTGGCCTTTAGCAGCTCCCAATCATGTGCACTATTATTAGTCTCTCCCCACCCCGCTGAGGTTTGGCATCGTGGTGTGGTGTTGGAAGGCCAAGCAGGATTGGCTGTGAATAAACTGTCCTTTTTACTGCGCCTGCTCACACACATACCGACTTCCAACTGTGAGAGTTCAGTCTTGTTTATTTTATATTTACAGTTTCATAAAAGATTTTGTTTTAAAATAGGAAGGTTTTCTGTTGCTTTTTAAAGTTTAAAAACAACTTTAATAGGGCAAAGTTTATGTAATTAGTAGGCATAGATAAAGATGTTGAAACCCACGACCTTGAAATATCATTATGCTAATCAACAGAGCAAACAGCCTGTTTTGTTTTATTGAAAGGTGTTGGAGGGATAGTCATCGAGGGCGGAGACTGGAAGGTTAGTATATGGCATGTCTTCTCTCCTACAATGATGTAATAGGCTTCCAAGAGTAGACATGGCAGTAGTAGCATAGGCATGGACTAGAATACCTGTGAAGTGAACGGATGGCAAGGTGGAAACTGCTACGTATAAAATATTAACCAGAATTAGACATTTATAAGTGTGAGAAATGTCAACATGTTAATAGCAGTGATCTCTAGGAGGTAGGATCACAGATCATTTTATTCTTTGTGCTTTTTCATGTTTTCCAAATTTTCTCAATGAAAATATAGTCATTAAAAGTTGGGAAGAGTTTTCTGTAAACAAGTTAGAAAATAAGCAAGAGACAGCATAGGCCAGAATTGCCACTTATTTCTGACATGTGATCACAAGCACAAGGCACATAAGTATCGGGGTCATGATGATGTGTAACTGCTTTTCAATCTCATTTCGTGCAGCTCTGATTCCTTAGGGAAGACTCAGGCGTTGCCCTGATTGGAGGAGACATGCAGGGAAGGAGGCTGCAGGCCCCTGCTGGGGGAGGTCAGCTTTTATGCTCATATCTATAAATATCCCTGCTCCAGCAAGAGCTATGTCAAAAAGTCACTTTGGGAGACCCATGTTCAAAATGGTGGAGTAGGCAGCTCCACGCCTCTGTCCTCCCACAGAAACATTGAGAAATAAGCAGAAACTATTCAAAACAAGTTTCTCAGAACTCTGGAAACAAAGGTTTATAGCAACTAAGCCAACACTGAATCAAAATATATGAAGACATGGACTGAATTGAAGGGAGACAGACAGTACTATGGTAACAGTTGAAAATTTCAATTCTCGACTTTCGATAATGGTAAAACATCTAGACGGAAGATCAGTGAGAAGAGAGAGGATTAACAGCACCGTAAACCACCAGCTCTGACAGGCACATGGGGAACACTCCACGCCATGTACACTGCAGCTAGCACACTAGTTGGCACCCCAGGCAGACTAAACGAGATAGTGTATATTGGCTTTGGAAACTGGGAAGAATCAAGTTTGTAAAGTTTTCAGTGTTGCCACCTCATAAAATAATTCTACACAAATTCCAGGACAGAAAAGGAGGCTTTGCCTGAATTCTGTTTAGTATGGAAGTTGGAGCTGGGGAAGCATTTGATAGTTATTTCAAACTGCAGAACGTGGTCTGTCCAGCCTTTCTGGAACACTCATACTCATACTGAAATGCAAAGACCCCGCTTTGAGGTCTTTGGAAGAGTTCACACCACTGACCGGTAGAGGGCGGCCTCGTACTAGTGTTGAGAGAAAGCGAGTGGCCGAGGTTTGGAAGCTTTTCACAATAGTTCGAAGTGTCAGTCACCACCATCCTTCCCTCCGGATCCCCACAAACTCCCACTTCCATGCTACCCGGACAGCTAGCTGTGTCATGCACCCAGTCACCTGCCCGCAGGTACCCAGGCATGTCTTGCGTCCAGCCTCTAGTGCTCACGGGAGGATAGCTTTCCTCCCTAGCCAGAGCCCGTTCCATAGGAGCAGGACCAGGTTCTCCTTGGCAGAGCCTTGAAAATGCAGGGCTGCCTGTTCACAGTCTATTGAGAATTTTAAGACAGTGACAGGGGAACATAAACCAGGCACGCGGACCTTCCGAGCCTGCAGGTCGCATGCCCATGAAGCCAGCCAAGCTTAGGAATTTAAAAGATATCTCCTTTCCTACCCTTTGTCATCACGACATCTCCCTGTGACACACCCAGGGGCTGCTTACGGGGAGAATCACTGGATGTTAGTCACAGGTCACAGAACCTTAGCACTGGAGAGGAGTTTAGAGATTATCTAGTCCAGTTATAAAGATGACTGAACTACGTTCCAAAGAGACGAAGTGACTTGCCCAGGTCCGCAACTGGCTGTGTCACAGATTGCACCAGAACTAAGAGTTCTCATTACCAGGCCAAGGCTCGCTTGCCACACAGGCTCAGCGAGGAGATTTGGGGAAAAGATTTTCCCATCTACTCAAGACACACTGCGCTCTGTTTTCTCTGTGAGAGAAGGGCACAGGTTTGCATTCCTTGTTTATTGAGCACCAGCTATATGCTGGGCACCATGCTAGATGCCTTATGTCTAATACCTCAATTAGTAACAATCTCAGAAAATCATTACTGTTTTCCCCATTCTGAGGCTCAGCTCTTGCGTTTTAGTTTGTAAGTGGAGAGCCAGGAAAGTCAGGCCAGTCTGTGTGAACCCAAACCCAGTCTCTGAGCATATCGCTCCCCGGTCCTGGACGGCTGAGCCAGCCTGCGTTCCTGAGCATTGGTCTCGTTCAGGTCAGTTCTGGAAGGCCTAGGGGGCTCTCACCAGGCGGCACTTGCTCTCCAAATGTAGCCGGCTTGCTCCTGTGTGCAGCCTTTGCTCCGGGGTGTGTTCTCTGCTTGGAACATCCTGCCCCAGACATTCCACGAAAACAGGAAGGCGCGTCCGATAGGAATGGGGGATCTGGTCACATAGGGTCCTGTAGGCCGTTGGAAGGACAGTGGCTTTTCCTCTGAATGAAATGGGAGGCATGCAGTGTTTCGTTTAGAGGAGTGGCAAGGCCTGACTTAGACTTTTAAAGGCTCCTTCTGGCTGCTGTGTTGAAAAGGACAAGGGGTATGGGGCAGGGCAAGTAGAAGGTAGGAGGCCATTTAGGGGGTTATCACAGTAATCCATGGGAAAGACAGTGGTGACTCAGACCAAGGTGACAGCAGTGGAAGTGATGGGAAGTGGTTGGCTTTGGGTGGCACATATGTATGTATGATGTTTTCAAGTTTTTGTCATGAAAAATTTTAAATACTTCCAAAAGAGAGAAAAGTTTACTGCATCCTACTAGATACCCAAGGAACCCATCCTGTGTCTTTACGCGTCAGGCACTTTTCAGCAGCTGCAGCGGTTGCTGACGTGTGACCATCTAATTTCATCTGTTCCGCTCCACCCCACTATCTTCCTGACCTGAGATCAGGGAGGAAAATATTTGAAGCCAATCCCAGACGCCATATTCCACATGTAAATGTTTCAGCTTTCACCACTCAAGCTGCTCCTGATGACCCCTCTATCCAGGGGTCACCGCTGTGGCTTCTGCCTACTCGCAGCCCCACACGCGCACTGCCTCCCCTCTGTCCCCGTTCGGCCTTTTTTCTTCCTATCAAGTACCGTGTATTTTTCAAATTCAGACTCCCTAAGGAGAGGTTCTTCTGGGTTCTCTTATATTGCTCCTTCTGCACAGAGGACAGAAAGTGACCAGATTATATGAGATGGGTTGCTCTTGGGTCAGGCACCCTCTGTTGGTCAGTCAAGTTGGCATAATATCAAGGTCAGTTTCCCAAAGAGGGGTTATGGCAATGGCAGTCACTTAGCAAATGATAGGCTACTCTCCAATACTAATAAGTAGTGGAAATTTAATACTAGGAAGGATATAAATTGTGAAGAAAAAGTGAGCCTACAGTGAGGCCAGAAATAGATAAGTGCCTAACCACTAAATTGGCACTATTTGACAGTGTGACCTGGATCACTTGGAGTGCTATTCTGGGGTGCCACTAAGGAATTAAGGGACATTGTTTTCTTAAGATATTTTTGTTTATAACAGGCTGCATAGTAATGGCATAGATCATAATGTACTGGACCGAGTTTCAAGACCTATATTTAATTCCTGTAATTATCATGGACTCCATGCAACAGTAGACAAGCTGATAATGTGCCTTCGTTCTCTACTTTCAAATGAGATTAATATTAATATCTGCCCTTTTCCTATTTACATATGTAAACAGGTATGGTTAGAGAGGTAAAGGCCCTTTGAACCTTTATTTTTAAAAAGCGAGTGAAAATCTAAATAATTACTATTTTCTATGTAAAGTTTTTAACGAAGTTGTAAAATGAACCGTGGGTTTAAGTTCGTGTTTTTGCAGAAAGTTATGTCATCTCCCATCTGTTCGTTTGCACCATGTACGCAGAAGGTTTTGTTTCCTCGCTGTGACATACCTGCCATATCCATATAGCACTTAGCGCAGAGCCTGGAGCACGGTAAGAACTAGCTAAGTGTTAGCTATTACCACCCCATCATGAGTATGAAAAAGAATTCATCACAAGAAAAGTTTGCAGAGTTAAATTCATAAAAAATTGATCGCCTTCTCCACCCCTAATACACATCCTCCGAAAATGCAAGTGCTTGCAGTGCATGAACTCGCACATGTGAGAATGTAAGGAAGAGAGAACGTCCCGGGCCCTGGCGCACTGGCCGTGTCTATGTTTCTCGGTAAAAGGCGGGTGGCAGCTGAAGGTGACTCGTTTGGCATCTGAGAGCCCAGTTCTCAGAGCAGGTTACTGTACATGCTGCGTCGGAGTCCCTTGGGAGTTTTCTACAGTCCTTGGTTCTGTTTTCAGAGTTTCTGGGAGCGGGTAACAGCGGAGAGTTAGGTGTAAAAACAATTAAGTGTCTTGGGTGATTCTGATTCTTAGCCGTGTCTGGGAATCACGACAGTGCAGAGCAGCATGCTCCAGGCTGTTCACTCGCACGCTGTGTCCTGTCCTGTTATTCACAGTGGCATGGTGGGTCACAGACACTTCCATGCCCCCAGAGGAGGACTGGGAAGACGGCTGTGAAAATCAGGATGGCGACAGTCTCTGGACTGTGGGTTTATGGGGATATTTATTTTGCATTCGCTTTTCTTATTTCTAAGTTTTCTGTTTGAATATGTATTATTTTTATAATAATTGGTTTCACTAAGGAAAATACTTAAAACCAATACAAGATTTTAAAGACCTCAATGCAATCTCTGTTTTTAGTTTAGCAAATGTGGAAAAAACCCCAAAGAGTCTATCAATACACACATCCATGTCCCACAGCTTTTTTTTTTTAAGGAGGGGTTACTTATAAAGCAATGTAGGAATAATATTTATTGCTTTAAAAAATGTCACAAATTCTTGTAGGACACCAATAAATGTACATTTTAGAGCACGTAAACCGAGTTAGATCCTAATTAGCTTGACTTTGTTTGCTTTGGCAAGACTGGAAGTGTAACCAGTGACCAGCGTTATAAAAGCCTCCTCCGTCAGTCACTTCACACGACGAGGAGGAAGCGGTCGACCAGTGCACCTTCCCACCCCCACGACTGTGCCCAGGCTGGGTGCCAAGGTGGCGCTCACTGCTTCTTGAAGATCCTCTTGGCTTCCACTCCTTCATACATGTAAGTCTGAAAGGCATTAACAAACAGAAGAGTTTCTCATCAAGGTTTAAGGCTGAATTAAGAAAAATATTAGATCATGTTAGACTAATATAATATTATAGCTTTGAAATGAATTTATAGTATTTTTTATTGTACTTAATAGCAGCATTTTGTTCAGATACAGGATACACCCATTTAAAAACACCTGTTGGTTTGTAGTCCTGTTTTCAGTTAAAATAAGCATTGATGTATTTGACATATGTAAGTTCTCATCAATAAATAGGCATCAGAAAATATATATTTAAAATCAAAAGACTTAGGAGAAAAGTAGTAGTCTTTTTACTGTAGGTACACCTCAGCAACCACAAAAATAAGATTATCATTGTGTAATTACTTTAGCCTTTGGGAAATAGCTATAATCCTTTTACAACCCACCTGGACCATTTCACCACCTATAACTTCTCGGACAGCGTTCAGTTCATTTCCGTTGTCTACCCGTTTGAATTTTCCAACAAGTTTGTTTCCCTCTAGGCTCCAGGTCCCCTGTGTAAAAATGAAAGAGTAAGGAAATAGCATTTTTAGGGTCCTACATGTGTCAGGTTCTGTTCTGAGTTGTGTAGACCCACTTCTATCGTCACAGTGACCCTAGGAAGTAGATATTATGATCTACATTCACAGATGAGAACGCGCAGACACAGCACTTACCCGCCGTCACAGAGTCGGCACTGAACCTGGACCGCGGGCCCTGCAGTCTGTGCTGGCAACGGTTCTGCCGAATTTTAAGGCAGATGATCAGGGCTTCTCGTTTCTAAATCTTTCTTGTTAAAAAGAGTGTCCTAAATTTAGTCCTGGCTCAAATGAGCCTCCTCAGTTTCATGGGGAGGCTACCAACCTTGTGCTTGTTTTAATTTATGTAAATTGTTGTAATAATTTTAAAATGGTCATAGGTGATCAAATATTTGACAGTTTAATTGTTGTTGCAAACATATATAACTTAACCAGAATAATTCTGAGGACAAAATGAGTTTTTAAGAAATCAGTTGAAACATGTGACACCCTAAATTTCATATCTTAAACATTAAAAGCTATATTCCCATTGGCCTACCACATAGCACTGGACCTTTCCATTTGCTCACTCACTCATTCACTAATTTATTCATTTATTTTATTATGTCAGTTACATTTATTAAATGCCTGTCACGTTTAAGTTAGATAACTCGAAGTTTTTGTGGCTGTCAGGCATGGGAAGTTGAAAACACTGAGCTTTAGATTTTTTAGAATAGGCCTGTACTCCGCCATTCAAAGGGTTTTTCCCTCTTTCTGTTCACTCCTAACCCCTCATAGATGTGTGCGGAAATGAAACGTTCCAATATTCTGCCAGCTTGTGCACTATGTGATGTGGATAAACTCAAATGAAAGAGCTACGTTAATTAAACCGCCCAGTGGCAGATATCAGAGATTACTTTGGCATTGTGTAGAAACGTTAAGAATGCATTGCTTATAAAAAAAAATTTCTTACACTGAGTTCAGTTCCGTCCGCCAGGCTGTAATTAAAAGTGACACCAAGCTCAAAAACAATTTCGATGTCTCGAAACGTGCTCGATTCTCTGACTGTGAATTTATTTCCCTCTTGTGTAATTATCAGTTTCAAGTTGTCATGAGCTGCAAGCTTCCTTTTTATCATACTGACACCTGCAAA